GCCCTAGTTTAACCAGGGCTCTGTGGGGTCTCATCGGGGCTCTGAGGGGTCTCACCAGGAATCTGTGGGACTACCAAGGCTGGTTAGAACCCACAGCGCCCTAGTGAGACCCCACAGAGCCCTGGTGAGACCCCACAGGGGCCTGCTACCCTGGTGAGACCCCTGGTGAAATTCTTAGGTTTAACCAGGGCTCTGTGGGGTCTCATCGGGGCTCTGAGGGGTCTCACCAGGAATCTGTGGGACTACCAAGGCTGGTTAGAACCCACAGCGCCCTAGTGAGACCCCACAGAGCCCTGCTACACTGGTGAGGCCCCCAGAGCCAGGGCTCTGTGGGGTCTCACCAGGGCCCTGAGGGGGTCTAACCAGGCTGGTGAGACCGCACATAGCCATGCTGAGATCCCACAGAGCCCTGGTGAGACCCCACAGAGCCCTGGTTAAACCTAAGAATTTCACCAGGGGTCTCACCAGGGTAGCAGGCCCCTGTGGGGTCTCACCAGGGCCCTGAGGGGGTCTAACCAGGCTGGGGAGACCCCACATAGCCCTGGCGCTGGTGAGACCCTACAAGTTTAACCATGACTCTTTGGTATCTCACCAGAGCTCTGTGGGGTCTCCCCGGGGCTCTGTGGGTCTAACAAGGCTGGTTTGACCCCACAGAGCCTTAGTGAGGCTCCACAGAGCCCTGATGCCCTGGTGAGACCCCAGAGAGTTTTACAGAGCCCTGGTGCTGGTGAGAACCTACAGAGCCCTGGTGAGACCCTGCTAAGTCCTGGTTTTACCAGTGCTTCTTGAGGTCTCACTTGGGGTCTGAGGGGTCTAACCAGGCTGGTGAGACCCCACATAGCCCTGGTGAGACCCTACAGTGGGGTCTAACCAAGCTGGCGAGACCCTACAGAGCCCTGGCAAGACCCTACAGAGCCCTGGCGAGACCCTACAGAGCCCTGGCAAGACCCTACAGAGTCCTGGTGAGACCCTACAGAGTCCTGGTTTAACTAGGGCTCTGTGGGGTCTAACCAGGACTGGTAAGACCCCATAGAACCATAGTTTAACCAGGGCTCTTTAGGGGTCTCCCCAGGGCTCTGTGGGGTCTCACCAGACTGGTTAAACCCCACAGAGCCCTGGTGAGAC